AGAACCAAGTGTTATTACACTGAGTAATATTGGATTATAACCTAAAGTATAAAATAAATATCTATGAGTCCATAGTGATATAAATAAATGACTGAATAAACAAACAAAAGAGAGAATATATGTATCTCCTGTGCAGAGGAATTCCAAATAATTTATGTAGGTACTCTGCCATTAAGGAGGGGGACCATAACTCCCTACTCCTTGAGTGGAGGTGGCACATAGTGACTTCCTTCCAAAGAGGACAGTGTGGAAAGGAGGGGAAAAGAAATTTTGCAGCGGAGAAGCCTGGCGGATGCTCTCCCAGCCACGTAATCAAGGTTAAGCTCAACAATGATCTGTCACGTTCACAGCGTGTAACTTCGATGGGACCTGGAGAACAGCGCTTGACCTCTGGGGTCTTCCTCCCAAAACACATAACCTCAATCTAATTATGAGGAGAACATCGGACAAAGCCCAACTGAAGTACATTCTACAAAATACCGGATCTATCCGCCTCAAAATTCTCAAGGTCATCAAAAAAAAGGAAAGTCTGAGAAACTGTCGCAGGCAAGAGGAGTCTAGGAAGAAGTGGTGACAATACAGAATGTGGTCTCTTGGGTGGGATCCTGGTCCAGAAAGAGGACATTAGGGAAAAAAATGAAAAAGATCAAAATACAGAATAGACTCTGGTTAGTAATCATGTATCAATATGAGCTCATTAATTGTGACAAACGTACCAGACAAACAGAGGATGTTAATAACAGGGGAAGCTGGGCGCGAGGCATATGGGAGCTCTCTGCACTATCTACTTAGCTTTTCTCTAAGTTTAAGATGGTTCTGAGGTTTTAAATCATTTTAAAAATAAACAGATCAATGAGTAAATAAAACTTCAAACAAGCAAAGGATGGGGCTTGGGGAACAGCCCGGGGAAGGCGGTATGTCCTGGTTGGAAGGGGAGATCTGAAATCAGAGCTGCCTGGGTTCTGTTCCTTATCTACTGTGTGGCCTTGAGCAAGCTGCTCCACCTTTCTGAGCTTGTTTCTTCATCTGTAAAATCCCCATTTTAAACATGCCAACTATGAGTTGATTTGGATTAAATGCAGCAATGTAAAAGGGGAGGGTACAGCTCAGTGGTAGAGCACGTGCTTAGCATGCACTAGGTCCTGGGTTCAATTCCCAGTACCTGCATTAAATACATACACACACACACACACACACACACACACACACATATAATGTGTAAGCACATTTGACTGTCCTTTATGATTGGATTACTGCATTCTGTTGATTCTTAAATATATATATATAAAATGAGGCAATGTATATAAAGTTCTAGACACAAATAAACACTCTGGGGCTATTAGACTGACTCTGTTATTATTTTTGGCAAGGTCAGTGGAGGATATTGGAAGGCTGCAGGGAGGAGGGATATTGGCAGCACATCTTGGAGAACTGGTAGGATACGGATGGGACTGGGAGTAGGGGGTCAGCTTCCCTCAAAACAGAGAGGTCTCTCCTTCTATCCTTAACTCCTACCCTTTGGTTCCAGAGCAGGGCTAAGCAGCCTGGGAGGAGATAGAGACTTCAGATAGGTCGCTGGCTTCCCACCCCAGCTGTGGCCCTGGCTTGCTCTTCATCTGCCAGGGTCTCTGGGCTAAGTAATTGCTAATTCCTCCCTGATGAAGCACCTGTATCTGTAAGCAAATGAGCTGGCAGGTGGTGGCCAGGATAAAATATGACCCGCTCAGCAGGGGATTTGCTTACCAGTCGAGAGAGGCAGCCCATCCTGCTGCCTGCAGCCCGGAGGCCTCCCGGATAAAGCATAAATCGCTGGTGCCCACGGGGAGGGCAAGAGGCACCCGGAAGAGCGAATGATCCCCTGCTCAGTCTCCAGCCCCAGGCCTGTGGACACTTTCTCAGTGGCTTGTAGGAAAGAACCACGACTGGGAATCAGGAGACCAGGGGAGTTCATTCTAGCTCCACCACAGACTTGCTATGGGGCCCTGGGCAAGTTGCTTTCCTTCTCTGGGCCTCTGCTCTCAACTCTTTCAAATAAGAATTATTCCTCTTTCTCTTAGGGGTTTGCTACAAAGATTACAGGAGAAACTCTACGGAAACACACAATATTTGTTATCATCTTGATTATTACTATGTTGTTTCTATGCTGCTCCCATGGAACCTAGCCTAGGGAGCAGAGATCACGGGCTGGTAACTTTCTGGTGGGCTGGTAGCTTCGGGGAGTTATCTTCAAGGCTATAGTACCTATTCGCAGAAAACTGATCAAAGACATTTTCAAGGAGGTAACATGATATTTTAAAAAGTGCATGTTCTGGGGGCATCAGAACTTCGTCTGAATCCTACAGCCGCCACTCATTAGCCAAAAGTACTTGGGCAAGTCACATTCCTCCTCTGAGCCTCAGTTAACTCCTCTGTAAAGCAGAATAATATAATCTTTCAGGTTGTGGTTATGAGGCTTAGACGAGATTACATTCCAGAGCACTTGGCTCATAAGTCACTGCCCGATAAAGGTTAGTTCTTCAAGGCTGAATCGGGTTTTGCAAATCAGATTTCCTAACTTTCTACTCAGCTCTTTGCTGAGCTCTCAGAAAGCCTTGGGGGAATCTCCAGGCTTCTATGAGCTGAATCACTGCTCCCGCCCCCAGCTCCCCACCAGATTTCTGCAGCCCAGCCCTGGAAGAAGACCCCTTGGGAAGTGCTCCAGCCCAGGGGCTGCGGGGACGGCATGATGAAGACAGAGACGTTTGCTAATACCATGTGGCTGCTGTGACAGTCTGTTAATGCCATTTACAACGTGCTGTAATTATGTCTCACACATGCTGGCGGCCCAGCCAGCAGGAGCGTTCCCTGGGATGGGCCTCGGAAAGATTCCTTTAGCAGGGTCGGGGATTGGGAGGCTGGAAGCCATTGTGAAGGAGGAAGAATTCCTTGTACAGCCCTCCTTGGCTGCACCTGAGAAAGAGTTCACCCTGGCTTGGATGAGTGGTTCTACCGTCCTGAATTGCTGAAGAACTTTGGGCAAGTCATGGCTTCTCTCTGGGCCTCAGTGACCCCTTCTGTAAGATAAGGATACGGGGAAAGATGAGAGAAATGTACTGGAGCCGTAGTTCTGAACACTTTCTGCAACATTTCCCTAGAAGAATGCACATACTCACATCCAGTTGCAATGTAGCCTGCATATTTGGGGTGCTGAAATCCATCATAAAGCTCCAAGGACCCCAGGCCTAGAATCTCAATCTAGATCATTTCATGAACCTACTACCAATATGTTTCAGCCTGTTTCACTATCTGCTGGATGTTGCTGCCATGTTGGTTGGGGCATAGGTTTTCACGACAGGTAACTGCTCATTCTGGATTCTTATCATAAAGTGACCAGAGTTGTCTCTTAAGGCTTTTTTACCTCGAATTTAATGGGCCAGCTAATTTCTACAAAGCTGCCCAAATTCTGACATTCTAGGATCCTTGCTAGTGGGTAATGCTCATTCTCCTTGAAGTTTGATGAAAGAGCTCAGCTTTGGAGTCAGACAGGTCTGAGTTAGAATCTCTCCATACTTCCTTGCTGGCAAACCACTGGCTTCCCTGAGCCTCCATTCTCTTCCAGGAATCCAGCTGTCATGAGGGTTAAACGCATCAGTTCCCCTCAGGTGCCTAGCAGGGAGGAAGCACCCAATGCATGCCAGTTTTTCTGCCTTCATCATCCACCCCCCACCCCCCCGCCGCCACGCTGAGCTCAGATCCTCCTCTCCCTTTCCTGGAGAGAGCTGAGAAGGAGTCTTGGGGGAAAAGCTCTTGGGAATGGAGAAGCCTATTTCCAAGTCATTAGTCCCCCAGTGTCGGGCTGCAGGATGGATTTTGATCAAGAGCGGGGTGACATTTGGCAAAAGTTGCTGATGAGGGATTGAATGATTAATCGTCATGACAACCGGGCTGGAGTAATGACAGGGATGCGATGGTGCCCGAGTTAAACACAAAGCAGCCCCACAAGCCGGGGCGGTAAATTACTAGGCATGTCACCACTGCGCTTTTGGAGAAAGCGGCCGTGCGTTCCTAATGAGAGGTTAACTGTGTCCCCGAAGTAATTACAGCCGATTGAAGAGGTGGCTGGTAATTAGAGGATTAGCAGTGATGAGGCTCACCTGCATGGTTGCCATGGGGATGGAGGGTGGGTGGGGTAGGGTGGCAAGGACGATCCAGACTCCTCCCCAAGTCAGGTGCCAAAGGCCTTTCTAGTGCACCAGCCCTGGTGTCCACCACTGACAGATAGGGAATTGGTGGGCAAGCCCTAAGGTTCTGCCTCTGATGGCTGGGCCTCAGTCTTCCCATCTGTAAAATGAGGGCTTGAGCCCATTCAAGAGTACAGACCATCAAAGCTGGAATTCTGGAAGTTGTCAAAGTGACATCTCCTTTGGAATTCAAATAGTCTTTAAGTTGCCATCCTCTCCCCAAGCCTGGCATTGCTGGGACCCGGGACATCACGTTCAAATTCCACTTCTCAGCTGAGTGACTCATGTCAAGGGTTTGACCACGAGCCTCAGTTTTCTCACCTCTGAAATGAGAATAATAATAAAGGCTCCTATCTCTGAGGATTGTCTGGAGAATAAAGTGAAGTCCTAACTGCAGAGCATCTAGAACATTGCCTGGCCACTGCAAAAGCTCTGTAAATGTTAGTGGTGACGGTCACCTTTATAGTCAACTCTCCTCTCCACTGACCTGAGCAGTTGGAGGCAGGGAGGTGACAGGGGCCTCAGCCTTTTGTTGGGGAGCAGGCTGAGCCCTCACACAAGTGACAGATGGCAGGAACGCTAGGGGAAGAAAGTAGGCACCCACTTTTTGCTCATTTTGCAAGACCCAACTGCCTCTCTGATCCTCTGATTCCTGCCTGCCTGAGCATTCTGTTGGGGAAAAAAATCATGAAACGCTGGACTTGTGGGGCACTTACTATAAGCCTGACCCTCACTATGTACTTTATAGCTATTGTTTAATTGATCCACCACATAACCCATAAAAAATATTATTTTGGCCATTTTCAAGAGGAGAAAACTAAGACTCAGAGAAGTTAAATGGCTAGCCCAGAAACACACAGCTGGACTGTGAGAGTCAAGATTTGAACCCAAGGCAGTCCAGATTTCTCGCACTTTCTACCATTTGAGAAGTGCCCAAGGAGAGAAGCCAGGCCCACCACCTCCATCTAAGGGGCTGGGCACCCCCCCATGGGCCGAGCTTCGAGAGAGGCCTCCCTGGGATTGGCCAGGGCTGGTATGACATCATGAGGGCGGGGCCATCTGCAGGCACCTGCTCTGGTGCTGGTGGAGTCTGCATGCCCAAGGCTTGGGTTTTGACATGCTGTTGGGCAGGGAATGCGACAGTGAAGACCCCAAACTGGTCCCCAGCTCAGCAGCTGGTGATGCCTGGCGTCCGGGCACAGGCCTTGGTGAACTGCTGAGCATGGTGGCTTAATTATTCCATACATAAATGATAAGCCCCGCTCATTTCCAGGCCTTCATGACAAATTTATGGCCTTCCTTAATGGCCTCGCTGCCCGACCTTCCCCGGGATCTCAGGGAAGCCAGGAGCCTGTTCTGGAGGACGCCGCGGGCAATTAATGCTGCAGTAGCCGCTGGGCCATGCATCCCCGCCTATCGCTTCTGGGAACCTGCCTGTTGCAGTTTGCAAATCCATTTTTTTCTGCTTTACTTCCGGGAGTTAGCAAAGACTCGGGTTCAAGTCCCAACTCTGCCACCTGTATGACCTTAAGCACGTATGGGTCTCTGCCTGGGTTTCCTGGGTATGAGGATGAAGTGAGATAAAACAGATGTGGACAGGGTAGTTATTGCGGCTTTGGGATTTTCACATACAGTTGTACGTTCTTTTCTTGGACCTGCTGCTTGGGATGGGACCTGGGATGGGACGCATCTTGAAGTAGAAGGCCAACAGGCCCAGGCCCTGCTTCTGCTCTGAGCAGAGAAGGCTGCCAAAAATCTGGCTGTGCGAGCCCAGCCCCAGGTAACCAGGAGCCCGGTTCTGGTGTCAGTCTCACTTCCAGCTCTGGGATGGCTCAGTTTCCTCATTTGTCCCAGGACCTGCCAGCATCGTATGCAGAAGTGCCGTGGGCCAGAGGTTCCAGCATAATCGAGGAGTGGCAGAATCGTATTTTGGGGGAAACCAAGAAACCCACACACGACCCTCCAGCCTGGATGGCTGACAGGCTCTGAGTTGGGGGGGTGGATGCAACTCACAGAGCTGCAGGACCTTAGAGCTGGCAGGGGGCTCAGAGAGCGCACCCTCCAGCCTCACACTTCACAGACAAGGATGCTCAAACACGGCGGCCTTATATTAAATGCTTACTGTATACCAGGTACCACAGCCATAGCCATATGTTATGAGTACATAGGTGTGGAAGGGTGTATTTAATCATCATTCAACAAAATGATTCAGAACCTATTTTGTGACAAGATCATAAACAACACTAGTAACAACACAGCAAATATGTATCTACTGCTTATGGTGGTCCAGGCAAATGACTTCCATTAACTCATTTAATCCTCACAACTACTCTATGAGATGGTAACATTATCATTTCCATTTTACATGTGGGGAAACAGAAGCACAGAGAGGTAAAGTAAGCTGCTCAAGGTCACACAGCTTGGTAAGTGGCAGGGCTAGGATGCAAACCCAGGCCATCTGGGCCCATGGCCCACGGACCCCTCCCAGCTCAGGCTGCCGTAAAAGTACCATAGACTGGGTGACTTAACAGAAATTTATTTTCTCATAATTGAGAGGCCAGGAAGTCCAAGATCAAGCTGTTGGCGTAGTCAGTTCCTGGTGAGAGCTCTCTTCCTGGCTTGTAGACAGCTGCCTTCTTGCTATGTGCTCATATGGCTTTGGCCATATGAGCAAACCAAGGCCATTCCTTGGTTCACAGGAATGGAGAAAGATAATTTTCTCTTTCTGGTATCTCTTCCAATAAGGACACTAATCTCATCCTGAGGGTTCCACCGTCATGACCTCATTTAACCCTAATTACTTCCCCAAGACATCATCTTCAAATAGCATCATCACGTTGAGGGTTAGAGCTTTAACATATAAATATGGGGGGGGGCAGGGGGACACAGACATTCAGTCCATAACAGTGTGTATACTGTACACCGTGCACACGTGCATGCATGAGTGTGCATGCCCACACGAGTGTCTCCATGTCCATGCATGCACTTTAGGTATGTGCATGTTTGTGTAAAGGTGCCTGTGGGTATATAAGATGTGGCTGTATATACATGTACAAGTGTGTGCATGTAAGCACATGCTGTGTCTGTGCATATGTACAACTGAGTGTGTGCATGCAAATAAGATAAGAGATTGGGAAACCGCCTCCCAGGTCAGCCCCTCTGCCAGTTGGTCCAAGAGCCCTGTGAAAGCCGGACTCACACAAAGGGGGCTGAGGTGGGTCTTTGGGGAGCTAAGGCCTAAGAACTGGTGCTCCCTGAATCAGGGGGGGAGGGGACTCCCCAGCTGCTCATGCCTGTCGCCCTGGCCTCCAGGAGACATTAATAATAGATCAGCAAATTCCAAATGTAAATAGGGCAATCAGGCCCGAAAACACAGACATTCATCACCCAGATACAAATTACACTGCCGGCCCTGATGTAATTACCAGAGCTCAGCTCGATGTGTGAGCCACCCCCACCCTGTACCCCTGCGTGTTGCCTTGTGCTGGTATTCTTTCCCAAGGAGGCTCCCCCAGCTGACCCTACAGGGTCTCTCTGACTACAGACAGAGATCCCTGGCTGTCCTGTGCAACTAGGAAGACAGAAGATCCACGAGATCTTTATGCTTTGATGGCAGAGCCCTGAAGGTCATAGGGGCAGACCCCAGACCACACACCTACTCCGGTTCTGGCTCCAGTTTTGAAATGACTTGCTGTGTGCCCCTGGGCAAGTCAGTCACCCTGTCTGAGTCTCAGTTTCCTCTACTATCCAAAGGAGCGAACAATACAGTATGGTGTTAGAGCTTTGGGTTTTACAGTCAGAAGGACCTGGGTTTGAATCCCAACCTTGTCTCTCTTGAGTTGGGAGATCTTGAGTGAGTTTTCCTACCCACTCTGAGCCTAACTCTTTCATCTGTAAAGTGGGTATAATCATACCTATGTTATGGGATTATTCAGAGGAAAGAGTAAAATAATATTTTTTATTTTAATTGGTGAATTTAACTCATTCACATTTATTGTGATTATATTATCATGTGTAAAATATATGCCATCAAAAATCTATATCCACATCTATAGTGTTTATATAATTATGTGATTATATGGCTGGACTCTTTCCTGCCACTTCTGTTTTGTTTCCTCTTTATCAGTTTCCCTTATGTTTCCTTCTTCCCCATGGCTATCATATTAGAGATCTATTACTCCAAAACTTGGTGGCTTACCACAATAATCATTTAGTATCTCATAGTTTCTGTGGGTCAGGAAACTGGGAGCAACTTTAGTGTGAGATTGCTGCTATCATGTCAGCTGGCGCTGTGGTCTCATGTGAAGGCTTGATTGAACTGAAGGTTCCACTCCCCAAAGTGGCTCCCCAGTTTCTCCCCATGTGGAGCCCCCCATAGCTGCTTGAGTGGTCTCATGATACGGCTACTGGCTTCCCCTAAAACAAGTGATCCAAGAGGGCAAGGCAGAGGCCACAATGTCTTTAGTGACCAAGCCTTGAAGTCACAAGCTGTCACTTCTGCAATGTTAGTTACACAGATCCATCTCTTCACGTGGGAGAGAACTACACAAGGGGTGAACACCAGGAGGCAGGCATTACTGGGGGCCAGCGTGGAACCTGGCTACCACATCTGTCTTGTGTCAGACTAAATGACAATGTATGTAGAGCTCTCAGCCCAGGCACTGGGACAAATTCATTAATCCCTGTGACCCCAATGCCCAGCACAGTGCCTGGCACAGTCTAGGCATCCACAGTAATGGCATGGCCAGAGAAGGACTGCAGCAGAATCTGGCCACCTCTCCCCCAAAGCCATTTCCTAGAGGCCAGTGGGCCAGCAGCTACTTGTAAGCCCACATTGTCCTTCCTTGCTGCCGTCCAGGACAGGCTGAGAGATGGAGGGCCAGGGACTCCTGCCTTCTCTGAAACGGAGAGTCTAGACCAAAGGCAGTTTCCAGGCCTGTCTCGTCCCAACTTTACACTGATCAGTAATTAAACACAGCCTCCAATTACTATCACGTTTGGCGAGGCACCAAGCTTGTGTGAAACCTTGCAATAAACATCTGCTTTATAAATTGCTTCTTGGGTGCAGCGCATCGGAGGGGTTCTGGGGGTTGGGGAGAGAGAAAATTGGAGAGCTGGGAAAGGGAAGAGAGGCTAGGGAGGGAGAGAGACAAAAGGAGAGATGAGGGAGAGGAGGAAGAGAGGGAGAGAGGAGAGGCTGGTGTGAAGGGCCGGGCCATTCCTCCATGACCCTCCCCACCCTCCCAGGTAGGGGACCAGGATCTAACCAAGACCCGAGAGGCACCCTTGTCTCTTGAGATCTGGTCACATATCTAATGCAAATCACTTTTCTGTTGCTTTTGATTTTACCAAACCCGATAACATCCCACTCATCTGCTCTTTACGTTTAGAGGGAGGAATATAAAGATGTATTTGCTACACCAACAACCCCTGTGGGGGGCATGACTTTCCTTGGGCTGTAGAGGAAGGGGGGGGTCAACATGGTTTCTCACCATGGGCCTGAACCACCCGCAACAACACACACTGTCCCATGAGCAAGAAATGGGCCTGTGTACCCCACTCTGTCTCCTGCATGATCTTGCTCAGGGAGGCTACAAGGAAAGGAAAACCCCAGGACTGGAAGTTTGATGGAAGTAGGCTGAACTTTGGCTCAGCTCACACGAGATTCTGGGCAAGTGACTTTGCCTCTCCAGGCTTCTATTTCTGCATCTATGAAATGGGTATAAAACCATCCTCAGAGGTTTGGGGAGGATTACGGGAGTTGTGGAGACAGGCTTTGGGCCAGGCGTTTCCCTCTCGAGCCTCATCGGACAACGGGAAGAGAAGAGGATCCCCCCCCAGAGGTGCTCTGAAGACAGTTTGATTGACTTGCCATTCCCAACCTGCCTGTTTCTTCCCTCAGCCCTAGAGGAGGGTGAAGACGTCCATTGGGAGGGGGCATGCAGAAAGGGGAGGACTCTCTGAGGCCAAATTGCCTGCCTGGGGGACACCCAAAGCAACCCAAGGCAGCTGAAATGAAATGAAGTGTCACATGTGTTGCACGCCTAGCTGGTCTCGTTAATATCATTATCATGATCTGAGACCCCGCCGGGGAGGCGTGGGGCACATTCCTCTCCCTTGTTCCGTCCTCTTTGGCCAGGTCAGATACAACGGGAGATGAGTGAGGCCGCCTCCCATCTCTACACCCAAGCGCCCGAGAGTCCCCCGTTAGAAGCCCATTCCTTAGCATTGACTTGATCCTCTTTAAAAATAAAACAGCCCCCAAGAGGCTGGCGGAGGGAGTCCTTCTATCTTCGCAAGAAATCATTTATGAAATCGTCTAATCTGAGTGAGCAGGGATGTTCAGCGGAGTGCCTGGTTCATGGTGACTATCTAATGAAGGGATGAATGAATGAGTGACTGAAGCCTGCCTTCCATCTGCCGCTGGCCATCCCTATTATGGACGATGCTCATTGCGAGGGAGTCCAGCCTCTCTGTGAACCCTTTTCAGACACAGGAAGCTCATGGCCTGGGGGCTAGCCTGGTCCATCTCAAGACAATGCCATGCACCGGAACATTCCCCTGTAAGCTCCGGCTCACTTCCCTTAAACTTCTCTAGGGGTCTCTTGCCCCTGCAGCACAGCTCCGAGGTCACTCTCCAGAGAACCCTAAGTCACAGATCAGCAGTTGCCAATGGGTTTTGTAAAAGCACACCCTGCCACCTCCGGATGTTTGTCTGTGAAACTGACGTCACAGGAGAAGTTGATTCTGGTGATGCTGTCAGCCCAAGGCAGCACACAGGTGCTCGGATGAGTGGGAATGCGGCAGAATAATAAAAGATCACCCATGCCAGGTGTCAGCACTAGCTAAACGCTTTCATCTGGTGCAACTCATCTACCGCTTCCAACCCTCCAAGGAGGTAGGAGCTAGGAAACGGAGACTCAGAGAGGTGAAGTGACTTGGCCCAGGTCCCACAGCTGCTGGGGGTCGGGACAGGGATTTGAACCTAGATTATCTTGCTCCAGAGCCTAAGCCCTGCACTAAACTGCTGCAATACTTAACCTGTGAATCAGAATTTTCTTGATGCTGGGCAGCCAAAACCAAATACGGAAATATATTGGATGTGGAGTTGCTACAAGACAGTGACTGTCATCTATAACTCCTGATTCCAAATGTTTATGTCTGTCAAAGCAACTTCATTGTTCTTCCTAACTGGCTTTAGGAATAAATATGTTATCGGATTGAGCCCATCTTTGGTTGCAAGTGATAGGAAAGCCAACTGGCTGAAGCAGAAATGCCTCCTGCAACAAAAATCTCCAGAGGTGGGGCTGGCTTCAGGCACAGCGTGATTCAGGGGCTCTCACGATATCACCAGGGCTCACATGTTTTACCATCTCTCAGCTCTGCCTTTCGTGGTATTGGCTTCATTTTTAGACTCTGGGGGTGAACTCTGGCAGCTCTAGGCTTACCCCACCTCCATCCCAGGTTTAAATCTAGGAGAAAAACGACTTTCTTTCCCTCTATGGTTTGCATGGAAGCCACAAGCATGACTAGCTCACACTGGTCACAATCTAGCCCCTGAACCTTTTGCTGTGGCCAGGGGAAGTCTTTGGCATTGGGTCCACGCCACCTCTTGTGTGGGGGTGGAGCGGGAGGGGAGCTGAGAGAGGGGGAAGGACAATCCCCTCAAAAGGAAGTTCAGGTGTTATTACCAAAATAAGAAAGGATGCAGGAAGGCCAGAGAGCCACAAACATCCACTGAGTATAAATACCACACTTCTAAAACTTCTAAAGTGTTCTTATTCCTGCTTTACACCCACTGAGTTGCCACCTAAGATTCCATTTGTAAATGAATTACATACCTAAACACTGTTTGAGGATCATTTAAAATAGCTTCATGGGGTCCGTCACAGGGATGGGTATTAATTCACCAGCTGGGAGCGCATGCGAGGGCTTACCATGTCTCTCGATGGGATAACAATAATTGTAATGCTAAAGCTACTATTCACTAGATGCTTGCTATGTATATACTAAATTTCTCAATTGAAGCGGAGTTAAATTACAATATTGTGTTAGTTTCAGGTGTATAGCAAAGTGATTCAGGTGGTTTTTTTTTTTTGCAGATTTTCTGTATATACTATTAATATCCAATATTGCTGAAGGAAATTGATGCTCAGAGAGGTTAAGTGACTTGCCTAGTGTCGCTCAGCTGGTAAAGGAAAGATTGAGAACAAGAACCAAATCTGCTTGACACCAAAGCCAATGTTTCCTTGTTTAAAAAATGTTGTATTCTATTTTTATATTTATAGACATAGTAGTTGGTTGTTGTAAAAAACTCAAACCATAGAGAAGTTTATAAAGGAAAAAATGAAAGTACCCCCCAAAGCTGAACATTTTAAGAGAGTCAAAATTTTAAAAAATATAAAAAGTTCTATGGCACATAGTAAAAAGTAAATTAAACTAGCCCAAAAGTGAATGAAATGAAAATCAAAAACAGTCCTGATCCCTGGTTCTTTGGTCTCACTTCCCAGAGAGAATCACTGTGAATAGATGTTTGTGTGATTCTTTCTACATCCTTTTCATGCACACCAAACACATATATGCCTTCTTTTATGTAAATGAGAGCACACTATATATTATCCTATAATTTGCTTTTTCCACTTAGTAATATCTCATATACTCTCTTCTCTATTGGTCCACACAGGACAAGCTCATTCTTTTTCTCAGCTGCATAGTATTCCATTCAAATGCCTGTTTCATCATGTACATTTAACTAGTCCCCTGCTGATGGACCCTTAGGTTGATTCCCATTTTATGTTTTGCTTTAAGGTTGCTATGAGCAGCCTTGTACTTTTGTCTTTGCCCATGTGGATGCACACATTTGGCCTCCTGTCTCCACAGCCCTCTGTTGTATGGCCACGCTCTCCATGCCAGATTTGCCTCCCCCACCAGCCTCTGCTTTGGGAACCTCTGCTGGGCCAGCTCTGAGCTTGGGGGGGGTGTGTGAAGAGACCTCCCTTCCTCTCATCCCAGCCAGCCTCTGCTCTGCCTCTTCTGAAGGCCCTGCTTGGAGCTCGCAGCATCTCTCTGTGATGAGATAATTTAAATTTTCTGTTATTTTTCTTTTTCAGCAAAAGGGGGGCACTTAAAGTGAAATATCTCTTGCCGCCCTGTTAACAAGGATTCATAAAAGAACTGTTCACCTTATCTGCCAGCAGGGGGTTATGAAAAATCAATAGCACAGAGAAACTCTGCTCCTTGTGTCTGACGCTGTCTGTTTGGTAGTATGGGAGGGTGAGGGCATCCTGGCCTCCTCAAAGACACCACTGGGAGCCTGGTATATTTGCAAACAGGGCTCCTCTGGGCCAGGGTGACAGCCCAGGTCAAAGGTTAATGCAAAAAGCTATCGTTTGGTGCAGAAAAAGCTGTCTGGCCCTACACCCTGACTGCTTTCTTCCCCCAAACCACCATGAGAGCATGGGTCGTAAGTCACATCATCTAAGAAAACCTTCCAGAATGATGCGTTCACTCATTCACTCAACAAACACCTACAGAGGCCCCTACTATGCGGCAGGCCTGTGCTGGTCACACACAGGAGACCCAGCATGGTCCCTGCTTCCTGCAGTGGAGAAGACAGATGGGTAAACAGGGACTCACCCAGAGACAGGGTGAGATGTGCTTCTGCACAGGATACTGGGGACTGCTGGGGCCTGGAGGGGGCCCCTGATGCAGTCTAAGGGGTGGGGTGCTCAGAGAGGCTCCCTAGGTGATCCATGTCTCTGCTCAGAGCCCAGGGAGCATGGGGGTCAGCCAGACAGAGTACAGGAGGAAGGTCACGGCAAGCAGAAGGAACAGCCCATGCAAAGGCCCAGAGGCAAGAGGGAGAGAAGGCAGGGGAGTCTGGGGGCTTTAGAGGTTTGGTCTGACTGGAGCGCACGGTCAGAGAGGAGATGGGAGGGGAAGGTGGGCAGTGGCCGGCATGGAGGGGCCCTGCAGGCCTCACTGAGGAATGGGACCTAATAGGGGCTGACGCCTCTGGGTGGTGGTATTTGGGGGTGAGCTTTCATTTGTTTTTGAAATGACCTCTTAATTCTTCAACTTGTCTATCACAAACATGTGTTACCTTTATAATAGGAATTTTAAAAATAACGGTAAAAATTACTGCAGAAGGGGAAAAAGGGAGGAAAAGAGAAGTAGTGATAGTAGTGATCATGGCAGCAATAGTAATAGGACTACTGATAATGGTAGCAACA